TAGGTTATGTGATGACACTGTTGGGACCCGCAGAGGTCGTGTACTTGTTAAATTATCTGTTAATTATTGTCTTGTACTCAATCACAGTTTTACTTGCGTATCATATCTTAGTATCTTCTTGTTTCTTGTTGATACATTACATCATTTCTGTTTGGGCTGATTTTATGATTTTTTAGAGCCCGAAAGACTGGAGAGGTTGGTGACTGAGTTAGGGCCTGAGTGTCGAGTTGTGAGCGATATACTTCGGCGGTCGCATACTTGCAACATTCCTACTCTTTTGTGGCTTTTTGACTTCTTTTTCATGTGTTTGGGTCTTCAAGTATCATGCACTACAAAACACCAAAACTTTATAAGAATTAACTACAAATGCATTGAAAGACGAGCTAAAGTCTATGTAATTGGTATCAAAAGTCCTCAAGCAACTAAAACAAAATTATCCTATCCTATACTACTTCTATTTCCGACATGTCAAAAAACAGCAGTGACAGTAAATGGTTTTGACTGTCAGCTAACAAGCATGTAACTTCTTTTATTTACCCTTCATGGAGGAAAACTATCATTTAGCAATTCGACTAATCAACTTGTGAACTTCGAGCCTCAACCAAAACGACAAAATGTTACTCACAGCTAAGTGTGCACTTGTATTCTACTTCAAAAACCTAACTTCTGCTAAATCTCTCAATTCATGCGCGCTCACAACAGAGAAAATCCCCAACTCACACATATGTATAGGGGATGCAATCAAAACACTCTTGCACTCGGAACGAAAGCTACCGGCTGCAAGTATCAGTCCATATGCTTGCCCTTATTTTAACTTGCTGCTGTCTCAAGAATGATTGGTTATAGATCACCAAGGACTTTTCACGGGTTATAATGTAGGCTTCGAGACGGGTTGGATGAATATTTGGGAATGTAGTGGCTATATCCTCCTTGAACTCTACATACATTTTGCTTCTTTACTACATAGCACTTATTGGCCTCGAGTTACCGACATAGAACCACCTCAAAGTATTTCTTCAGTTTCCACAAGACTCCACTCTTTTTCTCTTCTCCTCTTTTTTTTCACAATTGCTTTTCTTTTTGGAGCTTGAGTTTCTATATATACAACTTTGAGGTTGTTGTTTTTTTTAACACACAATAGTAAACCTTACCAATTTCCACTTTGTACCGGCACCCCCAACTTAGACTTTTAGACACATTCTTACTCGTTCAAGCAGGGATGGGTTCAAAAGAAGGAATTATTTTACAAAAGGGGTAAAGGTTTGTAATGTGGCAGCCAATAAAAGGTTAAAGGCTCAGCGGGGGTAACTAGGGTAATTGATGTACTAGGGAGGTCACAAAGAGAGCCCAAGATCATTTCAGCACCCAATCATTAACCTGAGAGTTGCACTAAGAAACCAACCGAGCAAGTTCTAGACATCACAAGTTAAGCATATGCATTATTTATACAAATCCTCACTCACTCACAACGCATGACCTGTTCAACTCAACATAGTTTAGCCCTCAAGTGAATGCAAGGCAACTCAAAACTTTCATCTCAAGATATGTAAGATTCTGAGTAAGCATAAAGTCAAAGAGCGAGCCTCAAGTTCATAAGAATGACTAACCATTACCATTTTTTTAGATATATGCAAAAGAAGGAAGGGTACCATTTATTTACAAAAATTCATTACATGCTTGAAGCTAGAACAATCAATACTGAACAAGTCAAAACATTTTATGCTACTGCCGTGGTTCTACTATTACACCCTTGGAAAAAACCCGACGAAGAAAAACCAAGGGGAAATCATTGCTAACTATCAATCTATACTACTAGAGTAAAGAGTTTATGTACAATTGTCACACAAAATATGACTACCCCACCCCCAACCAAAAATCATGCATTGTCCCCAATGTATAGAGAATGTAAAAGCGAAGCTTAGGAACTTCCTGGGGCGCACTAGGCGCTCGGAGGGGCTGAAACATCCGGGGCAGCTGTGGAGTCAACTGCTGGCACTGTGGCAGCAACAGGTAGAACCTCGGATAGTATGGTGGTCTCCAAGGCTGGAGTAGGAAGCTCCACCTGCTGTGAGGTTGGGTCTGGGACCTGGGAGCTGCTAGCCTCTCCTAGTGAAGGCTGAGTGGTCGATGGATGTGCCTTGGCGACCATGTCTGCAAGAGAATGTGCAATTGCTGTCTGCACGGCTGTTTCCTCTTCATCCTGTGCATCTGTAGAAGCAGCCACTTGCTTACCCTTGTTGTCCCGCTGACCCTCAGTCTCCTCTACCAATGCATCCTCATCGGTTTCCTCATTTTCAGTATCTCCCTCATCAGACTCCCCTTTTATCTCTCCCGATCCCTCCTCTGAAGGAATGTCAATGTGTACAGTTGAAGCTGGAGCCTTTGAGGTCTCAACACCTTGTGCCTCCGGAGCTGTCATAATGTTTGTGAAATCGAACTCCAAGCCCGGTATGGAGGTGTCAGTACCCTACTCGCCTCCTTTAGGGAGAAAGGGGGTCAAGTCAAACTCCAAGTTCTGCATCTTCTGCAACTCTGATTTTAGCTCATCAACATCTTTCCCGAGCCGAGTCATATCTCCAACTTCACCTCGCTCGACCTTCTTAAGACGCACTGCAAATTGCTTTAGGCGATCTTCATAAGATTGAAGTTGTTGAAGAACGCTCACTGAGGCTTGGACGGGGACCAATGCTTGCCGGATGAGATTTGAGATTTCTTTTATCAGCCGGACTACCTTAGCATTGGCGTGCTGAGCTAGTAAATCCAGCTTTGAGAGAGCTGGCAAGGGGACATGTGGTTGTGCAGTGGTTGGCTTAGGAGTGGCAACGACGCCAAAATTTAATAAGCTCAAGTTACACTTAAATAAATAGTGTAAGGCGGTCGGTGTCAAATATAATAACCCAATAAGGTTGGGGTCAAATCCCACAGGGAATATGTGTGAAAAGGTTACTTGAATAGTGTGAAAGTTGATTTAAGTCGTAATTCTACTCCTTTAGCTTAACAAGTGAATGACATAATTGTGATTTAACAAGATAACTATTTTGTTGTGAGAATGTAATTAATTTGATTAAGGAAACCAAGGCTGTGTCCCCAATCCCCATCAATGAAATGTAATGCTATTGGTGTTAATATGATATATTTCTAATGAAAGGTCCTTTGATATGCAAATGGTTTCTAAATGACTACCCAATATTTTCCAGTGGTTGGGTAGTATTTTCTCTTTATAATTTTCCCAAATATAAAAGATTTGCAATTAAGAATAATCAATTTATGCCAAGTAGAACCCACTTATTCCTAAGCGATTCTATTAAACAAGGTTTAAAGCCTTGAGTTCTTGATACTCACTTCTACCTAATCCTAACCCACTTTTCCAAGTAAAGATAGAGCAAAATGGAATAAGTTAATGTTTGCAACCACCAACAATAAATAAAGCATAAGAAATGAATAAATATCAACCAACCATTATATATATATATTCAATGTTAAACACCCATTAGCATTACACCCATTTAGGGTCCACAACCTTAGTATTTAAAACTAGCTACTCATACTAGAATACAAAAACAAAGCAATAAATAAAGTCATAAAGCTTACAAAAGTGCAAGATTCTCTCTTCAAAAGCTTCCAAAATAATGGTGTATTAAATTCCTTCAATGTAGTCCCTTTTTCAGACTCAATGACCCACAAAACCCTAGTAAATCTATATCGCATTGAAAGAGACTTCTTTGGTGCCATTCCTGTTAATGAAACAGTGTGTGAGTGGATGAAATAGCATAGGAATCACATTGAGAGAAAATGGATGAAGCAAGTAGCTTTTGCAATGGGTTATGCGATCGCATAACACCTATACGAATCGCAAACCCATCTCAGATTTACAACACCCAGAAGAGAAAACAATTATGCCATCACAAAAAGGACCGCAGACTATGTTATGCGACCGCAAAGCGATCGCATTTCCGCTCATTAGATGGGCAATTTGTCTGACTCTGTCTGCGGCAACTATGCGGTCCGCAAAAATGCTCACCTCACTAAAAAATGCTCACCTCACTCAAACACAAAGTTCCTAACACTCAGTTTTGAGACGTTTCCCACAAATTACCCACCCATATCCCCACAGCATAGTTTTGAAAGGAAGGGGGAGGAAAGGAGTTCAAGCAATTCCTAATCATGCAACACAACCACGAGACAAACCTACTCCCTACTAATTTCCTCACCCTAATATCAACATTAATCAGAGGAAAATGGGGATTTAGGGGAAATGACCATGGGAACTCAGAAATGAGGAAGAAGCATGCAACACAACCATGAGAAAAAGGGAAGAGAATCACATACCAGATGTCTGAGCAAGATAATGTGAACGAGGTGAGTTATCTATGCAAGTCCGTTCCTCTTTGTGTGATAGTGTGTGTTTTTGGTCTTTTCTCATTTCTTGTCCTTACTTTTTTTTTTGGTTTTTATTTTGATCGTGTTATACAGTGCTTGTGTGGGAGTGAGGGTGCGAATAGTATGCGAAAGGTTTTAAGGGTTTTGTACCTGTGCGTTTTGCGGCGGCCAAGTGAATCGCATAACACATTATACGGTCGCATATGTGTTATGCGATGGGTTAATGCCTGGGTCGCTCAACCTTACTTTGCGACGTGTTTTGCGGTTGCATAGTTGTTATGCGGGCCGCAAAAGGCAAAATCTTACCGCATTTTTGAGGACCCAATTTGCTATTTTTTCTGACTGTGTATGCGATGACTATGCGGTTCGCAAAGTCATTATGCGACCGCATAGTTGCCGCAAACCATAGACCCTTCTTTCGTTCATTTACCTTAGTACCTACACCATGTTCATGATATTTTGGACTACCTGCATTCTAACACACACGTCAACCTTCTCAACAATAACAACTAAACCTACATAAATGAAAAAAAACTACAAAAGATTGTTACCACACATGGGTTGCCTCCCAAGAAGCGCTTGATTAACATCGCGGCACGACGATGTTGACCCCGTTTGGGCTACTCAGTGGTGGGGGCTGGTGTTGGACTATCCTTTAGAGCAAATTGTTCTATCAAATGCCTTTCTCCTGTGATACCGAGGTAATGCTTGACTCGTTGGCCATTCACTTTGAAAGTTCGAGTACCATCCTCCGACTCCAATTCAGTAGCACCATAGGGGGACACACTCATAACTTTGAACGGGCCAGACCATTTGGATTTGAGTTTGCCCAGAAATAGCTTAAGTCTTGAGTTGAAGAGTAAGACCAAGTCACCGGATTTGAATTCCCGCTTCAAGATCTTCTTGTCATGGACAAACTTCATTCTCTCCTTATACATGGTTGCACTCTCATAGGCATGGAGGTAGAATTCTTCCATCTCATTAAGTTGCATCATTCTCAGGTTAGCAGCTTCAACCCAGTCAAGATTCAACTTTTTCAATGCCCATATGGGTTTGTGTTCAAGCTCCACTGGCAAGTGACACGCCTTACCAAAAACCAACCGGTACGATGAGGTGCCAATGGGAGTCTTAAATGCCGTGTGATATGCCCACAACACATCATCTAGCTTCCTTGACCAGTCAGTCCTATTTGCATTGACAGTTTTTGCTAGGATGTTTTTGATCTCCCTATTGGAGACTTCAATCTGACCACTCGACTGAGGATGATAAGGTGTGGCCACCTTGTGCTTTACGCTATACTTTTCGAGCAGCCCGGTGAAAGCCTTGTTGCAAAAGTAAGAACCACCATCACAAAAGATGGCCCTGGGGGTACCAAACCGCGTGAATATGTTCTTCTTCAAGAATGCGGTCACACTCCTTGCTTCATTGTTGGGAAAGGCGATTGCCTCGACCTATTTGGAGACGTAGTCCACAACCACCAAGATATATGTCATGCCATAAGAGCTCACAAAGGGGCCCATGAAGTCTATCCCCCACACATCAAAGATCTCGACCTCCATTACAAAATTCATAGGCATCTCATGTATTTTAGATATTGACCCTTGTCTTTGACATTGATCGCATGCGTTTACCATTTGATTTGCATCTTGGTAGATCGGTGGCCAATAGTAGCCACATTCAAGCACTTTCGCGCCGTCTGGTTTCCTCCATGATGACCCCCAACCGGGGAGTCATGGCATGCCTTGAGAATTGGCATTACCTCATCTTCCGGAACACACCGCCGAATAATGTTCTCGGCACAAATACAGAACAAAAACGGTTCCTCCCAATAGTATTGCCTACACTCCCACAAGAACTTTTTTTTGATAAACTTCCAATCCTTCAGGAACGAGATCACTAACCAAAAACTTAGCGACGTCGGCTTACGAAGGAGCGAATGTGCTAGACAATGCCAATATGTGCTCATCTGGAAAGGCATCATTGATTTCAAGGTCTTCTTTGGTCTCCCTGCCTCTTCAAGCCTAGATAGGTGATCCGCAACTTGATTTTCTGTCCCTTTCCAGTCCTTTACTTCAAAGTCAAACTCTTGCAACAAATGGACCCACCGAATCAATCTTGGTTTGGCATCCTTCTTCACCATAAGATAGCGAAGAGCAACATGATCGGTGTAAACTATCACTTTGGACCCCAACAAATAAGCCCGAAAGTTTTCAAAAGCATAGACAATGGCAAGAAGTTCTTGCTCAGTCACAATGTAATTCATTTGAGCGCCATTAAGTGTATTGCTTGCATAGTAGACATGGTGAAGGATTTTGTTATGCCGTTGACCAAGCACCGCCCCAATAGTTATACCACTAGCGTCACACATGAGTTCAAATGGAAGGGACCAATCGTGTGTGACAATAATAGGTGTCGTGGTCAGCTTTTCTTTCAATTCCTCAAAAGCTTTGAGACACATCTCATCAAATATGAACTTTGCATCTTTTTCAAGGAGCTTGCACATGGGATTTGCAATTTTTGAGAAGTCCTTGATACAACGCCTATAGAAGCCGCGCGTGCCCCAAAAAGCTTCGGACACCTTTTACTGAAGTGGGTGGAGGGAGCTTGGAAATGATTTCGATCTTTGCCCGGTTAACCTCTATGCCTGTTTGGAAATCTTGTGGCCCAAAACAATGCCTTCGTCCACCATGAAGTGGCACTTCTCCCAGTTTAGCACAAGGTTTGTTTCTTCACATCTTTTGAGCACTTGTCTAAAGTTGTCAAGACAATGCTCAAAGGAATCACCCACTGTCGCGCCCCCATTTTTCCCTTCGCGGGGAAGTCCGGGTTTCGACATTCATGGGGGAACAACTCATTTTCTTTTGGGAATTGGGTGTTTGAAGAGTCGCCACCTAACGGATTAAGGTGCGTTAGGGCACCTAGAGCAATTAACTCATGTAACCAGTTTGCATTACCAGAGATTAGGGTAAGGGCTCGAAATAACCTTAAGGGGAAGGTGTTAGGCACCCCTCGAGGTCCACAACGGTGGGTCCCGGCCAAACTTACTTTGTGAATTAGTCAATTAGCAAATAAGCAGTCTAAGCATACATATGTAAAAGGAATGAAGACTTTTAACAGATAAGTAGTCTAAGCACACATATGTAAAAGGGATAAGGGAGGTCTTAAGTTGTTTATCCTATAGGATCATATCTATGCAATGCCCGGTAATCACTCCTCGGTGAGAGGGGTTACACGTTGCATTAGCGCACAGGTCATCATATCCTATTACTACCCATTATCCCACCCCTTCGCGGTTATATAAGCGAGTTTTGATTAAGGAACTCTAAGCGTGCTGTTACCCGCCCTTCCTTGTGGTCCCGGAGGAGTTTAGGACCTCTAGACTTAGGCAGTTCTAGACAATCCTAAGGTGTTTAAAGGGCAAAAGTCTAGGCGACAACAAATAACACATAGGATTGTCAATTAAGGAAACAGATAAAAGGCTCATATTTACCTCCACATATACATAGGCAAATAAGCAGCACGTCTCAAACAACTGATTTTAAAGAAATTCAGAAAGCCTAGGAACATGATATCTAGATGAACATTATAGAACAGAACATGCAGCGTTTGTTTTAAGGGAAGTGGCAGAATCCTAATCAGTTTGCCTACTGGTTTTATAGCTTGTTAAGCCTGGACAGTTTCACACATAAACAGAACCTGATTTCACATTTATCTAACGTCCTAAGGCTTGCCTAGGCGTGTATATGCAGTCATAATCTGGGAACAATTTGAAGTTCTTTTATCCTATAGGTATGCTGATCTAAGTGATGAAGGTTATAACAAGTGATTTTATGCATGTTTATACTAGGACATGATATCTAGGTGTTGGACTGTTTTTAACCTTTTATAGACAGTTACTTATTCAAAACGACGTAGACATAGTTTAGAGCCAATGCAAACAAAGTCCTAAATAAGGATTTCTAATGCACATAAAGATGATCATTTTTTATTAAGCAAGATTACAGCAACAATTTAATGACATGATTTCCAGGTGATAATAACTTATGCAAAGTCAGAGAAAGAAGTGATGAACTTATAACATATTTCTAATATGCAGAATATAAACGTGAGTGTTCTAAGGCAGGCAAATATTATAAACTTATGACATGTTTTGATGCAAGTAGCATAGCATATGGACCTAAAGCATGTTTTTCTATCGTGACATAAACTCGAAGCAGGATGGCTGTTGCAAATATACATATAGACTAAGGGCATGGTTATGTATCAACCTAAAGCATGGTATCTACCCAATTTCCCACAAACATCATATAGGAACCCTCCCATTTTTACTAGCTTCCCCCAATATCTGTTTACAAATAAAATTGTTACAGACCAGAATCAAATGAATTACATAAGTAAATAGAATTATGCTATAGGGAACCTAAATCAGGCACAAAGTAAACCTGGGAATGCCAGGCCTTCAACAGAATCTCATAAGCCAATAGATCTCATAGCCAATAATGTGTGCGTTGGTGTGTCAGAGTTCCCTAAGGACCTCAAGGATCCCGGGCGGTGCTCGCACCAAGACCATTCTCAAATAGGGATTGATTATGTGCAGTGTAGAAGGGCCAGCCGTGGTATGCCAGAGTTCAGAGAGATCTCAATGATCCCTAAGCAGTACAAATACCAGAGGGGCAGAACTTAATAATCTAAGAGTAGGGTGAGAGTGTTGGACATAGTGTTGAAAGACTTAGTAAAACAGTCAGAAGTAAAAGAGATCCAGAAACAATTTTTTTTTAAAAAAGATACTGGGAGTGACCAGTTTTTGAGAAGAATACTAGGAGTAAAAGCAGTAGTTTTGAAATCACCTTGAAGAAAGCATACTCAACAAACAACCCAATTGGTCATAGAGTACTCAGATTCACTCAACAAGAAGACTTACAAACAGGGGTGAAAGGGATTGTGAACATATAGGGCTGAAACCACATAAACAGAGAAGCATTTGATACAGCAAGTGTACAGAACCACTAGGAGTCTACCGAATCAGGTCAATCATGGTATTAGTCAGTTAAGACATAGATAAGGGATGTAGCAGGATCATATTGAAGACACAGAGGTGTTGAACAACATGGGACATACAATCAGGACTAATTGAATGCACTAGAAAACTAAGTAGTTACATAGTCATACCCATTAAAAGGGAGGGTGTGAACACCTAATTTTTGACCACACCCAAATTCTATTCTATTTTACTATAAATATTTCTTTAAGGTGTCTAATATTGATACTTTAAATTTTTATCTCATTTTTTTTCATTGTTTTTATTTGAGAAAGATTAAAAAGCTAAAAAAATTGCATATTCTTAGAGTTTATATTTTGTTCCTATATTTAAATATAAGAAAAAAATAATAATATTTTTGTTTAATTAAGAACTTAATAAGTAGACTAATAGCTTTTAATTTATTTTTAGCCCCATTTTTCTTTTGCTTAACTCCCCTATCCCATTACCCACGTACTATCCCACATCCCCACTCCTCACGTCTCTACCTCCCCACTTTCCTCCACTCACAATCCCACATCCCCACTTATAACTCTTTTGCACAAGACTAGATAACTACTTTATTGCTCTTTATAAATATAGGGGAAGGGAACTCATAGAAGGGGGACGATTCACAAAGAAAAGAACGAAAATCACTTTAGAGCTAAGGAGGACACACAAGATACAAGAGCAGATTTGTTAGCTTGCTGCCTCGTCGGAATTTCACCACTTCCGGCGAGCTCTCTTTCACCATAAACCCAGCAAAAGCAGTCCAAAAACGTGCTCCTCAGCCAGAGTCCCAACCTCGTTCCCCGTTTCGCGAGAGTTTCAAGAGGTCCTGCTCGAGATCTTTTCCGGCGAGTTCCAGCGTGCGTATTGGTGATTACAAAGAAGTGTTTGAAACTGGTATAGTGTTACGTTTCATGGTTATTATCACTGTATTTGATTGCATTATGAGAAGTTTTTCTTGTTTTACCTATTTGTTCTATGGTAGTCGAGAAATGGTTTCCACTGTCTTTAGTTTAATGTGCATAATGGCTAAAGGAAAATATAAAAGTTTTGGTTATGGAATTCTGTTTTGGCTACTTAGCAAGTGAACAAAATCTTATTTTTATTTGGCTATTATAATAAAAAGTTTATTTCTGTGCACATTATAATGTATAAAAAAAATATACATGCAATGGGGTTGAATGGCTTGGCTAGAGAAATAATATAATACTACTAAATATATACAAAACCGGGAATAACATTATTGGCCTTTTCAACACCGAAGAAGGGACTCAGAAGGAGGGTAAGACAATTTTCTAGTGATATTTTATTATCTTAGGGTTTAAATTGATATTGATGTGTATATTTTATACCAAACGGGAGACAATGAGTTACATGATTGATTTTCCTATAATTAATTTGATTTTTTATTTATCATGTCATTTGTTTCTATTAGTATTCAAGTATTATTGCCAATATTTACTCTCAAAATATCATAGAACTCCACCGCTACTATTCCTAATTTATAACATCAATATAAGTTTAGAGGTATGGGCCAGTAGAGGATCAGTTTGATTAGGTTAGAGGTAACAGCTTGTTCAGGCGAGCTCTTAATTAATCAAATTATCGTGATTATGTATACGTTCGCGTAAAATAATTATGATTTCCAACATTAAAACCGAGGTATGCGTTCGCGCAACTTCGGCCTAACTTTCTTAATATCAATAAAGCGTGATTAATTGTGAACACGTACGCGTGACATAATTTTTGGCGCGCCAAAGGAAATGAGTATACGTACGCGTAACTCAATTCTTTCATTACGAATAATTCAAGTGATTTAAAAGCGGTAAAAAGATAAATGCACATAGGTCCTAAAAATGAGTAGTTAAACAATTTAAGCCAAGTAATAATCACTAAGCGACCGTGCTAGAACTACGGAACCCGGGAATGCCTAACACCTTCTCCCGGGTTAACAGAATTCCTTACCTAGAATTTCTGGTTCGCAGACTCTTTAAAAAATAAAACTTCCTCGATTTGGGATTTAAAATAAACCGGTGACTTGGGACACCATAATTTATTCCAAGTGGTGACTCTGAAATAAATAAATAATCTCATTTCGATTAATGTCACTTAAATTAGAAAAATTCCCTATTCTCCTCGGGAAAAAGGAGGTGTGACAGAGGGGGTAAGGGTACCAAGTAAACATGCTAGGAAGGTATCAAAGAACTAAGTGAAATTAGACATGCTGATTACACATAAGGCATAACTTAGACATGCATAATAACAGCAAACAGAGAAACAAGTTGAGTAACTAATGCAGAAATAAACATGGGTGTATAGACATAGAACACATAAGGTTGAGTTTCAGAATTTGACTAGAGACATACCAGTTAAAGAAGAAAAATGCAGAATATGAAAGAAGCATGTGCAAATCCACTGTCTAGCCTTGGCTTTCAGCCGGCTAGGCCAACAATCAGCACAAGTAGCAAAGAAAGAGA